TATTTGAAAATCGAACACTACAAGAACATTTAATTATATTAAGGAATTGTTAACTTCAACTTTAAAATTAGCCTGGAATGCAAAGTTGCATGTGATCTGAACGAGGGCTCACCTTCCCTTTTTCTCTTTCCTGTATGGCTATCCAGTGGACCCTGCACCACTCATTGGGGGAAATAAGTCCCGTCCCCTTGCTCCGAAATCAATAAGCTGCACCCGTATAGTTTTGTTTTCAGGCTCTCCATTCTGTTCCATCGCCTATTTTGATGCTCCCATTTTCTTCTTTTACAATACTATTCTCGGTTATTCTTGACCTTTAGAATATTTTCTCCTTACATGCTAGGGCCCTGAGTTTACCCATCCTTGGATTCCACACCTGGCCCGGTGCCTGGTGCATAGAAGGAACTCAGTGAAGAGTGTCTTACGGATGAGGGTGTCCGAAGGACCTTTTCAGGGATAGGCAGGACCCAGCACTCCCACCACCACCCCATCCTTCTACCCCGCCACTGCCCCTAGAGGCGCGCGGGTGAACTGCAAGGGGCGTGCTCATGGTGCAGCGCGTCATTGTCCAGAGGCCCCTCTGGCTCCGCGGTGCCTGCCCCGCCTCTACCTCCGCCCCTCCCGCCCCGCCTCCGCCCCGCTTCTCCCCGCCTCGTAGTCCCCGCTCCTCCCTCCCCGCTCCTCCCTCCCCGCTCCTCCCGCCCCGCCTCCGCCTCGCCCCGCCCAGCGGAAGGGCTCGATCGCGGTCTGCTGAGCTCGGCGGTGACTGCGTGGGGATGGCGGCGCCCGCAGCTCCGGGAGGCGGTGACCCCCGCACGGACAGCCTGCTGGACCGGGAGACAGCCCGGTGGCTGCAGTGGGACCAGGTGAGGGCGCCGGGGGCTGGGGCGCCCGGAGGAGGGGTGAGGTCCTGCCTGCTCCCCGGGGCGCCCGGAGGAGGGGTGGGGGCCTGCCTGCTCCCCGGGGGCGCCCGGAGGAGGGGTGGGGTCCTGCCTGCTCCCCGGGAGCGCCCGGAGGAGGGGTGGGGGCCTGCCTGCTCCCCGGGAGCGGCCGGAGGAGGGGTGGGGTCCTGCCTGCTCCCCGGGGCGCCCGGAGGATGGGTGGGGGCCTGCCTGCTCCCCGGGCCAGTGCGATGCCTGCGCTCCCTCCCGGCCGCTCCTCCCGCGGGGAGACGGGCGGGCGCGGAGGACGCGGCGGCGGCACGGCCTCCTCCGCCCCGGCCGGCGTGCTGCACGGGCGGAGTTTGTCCGGAAAGGGTGTCCCGGGCCGGGGCTGCAAGATGTCAGGGAGAGAGCGGCGGCCCGAACCCGAACCCGAACCCAGGGCTTGTCTGATTGAGGACTGCACGCGGACTGCCCGCGTCCCTGACCCCCGCCCGCCCGCTCGTCCTCTGCTGTGGGGGCTGGACCCCCCACCTCCCAGAATCGGTCCGCCCCGCGGGTTCCTTTGGCTCCTGGGAACTTCGCAGACCGGCCTTCCCATCCACCTCGCCCAGGTGCTTTGTTGCAAACCTGGGTCCGCCCAGTTGGGCCCGCCTGACTTCAGGCATCTTTCTTAGGTCGCTGATGGGAGGGAATCCCTTGGACACAGCACTCCTAGCTCTGTTCCCTCTCTTAGATGCTGGAGCAGAGAGGGAAGCCAGCTTCAGACATGCCCCCCTTCCTCTCTCCTCTCTCACTGGAGTCTCCACTTCCGACTTGTTGCTTCCTGCCGGCTTTTTGTGTTCTTGGGATGTGCAGCTGCTCACTTCTGCTGACCTTGTTTCTCACGTAGTCACTCCTGTTTCCAATCCGAACTTGCATGTGATGTCAGGGGGGGAAAAAGCATTCAAACCTGTGAAGAATTTCTGTGAGTTTCTTTGACAACTTCATCTTCAAACTGTTAACAATCGCTGGGAGAAAATCTCAAACGGATTGAGATAATGCTCCGGAGAATGGCATGCAGATTTGCCCCTTATTTTATACATTGCAATCGAAGGAGGAGTAAGTGGGTTGCATGAAATCCATTGGTGATAGACTGGGGAGGTGGGAGATAGCAAAGCTGGGAAACCTGGGATTGGATAAAAAGAAAAATAATGGACACATACTTCTTTTACATAGGTGGATACAAGATAGGTAACTGTCAATAATTAATTCAGTAACAGTGAGGGGATTTGTGGTCTACGCAGAGCTGGGCCTGTGTTTGAGGCGTCCAAAAGGAAAATTACTTTGACATTTCAAGAATATGTTATAGTAGACACAAAAAAAGACAATAGGCTTTATTAAGGTCAAGATTGACCTTTGTCAGGGAAGGTACTTGCCTAGGACATGACTACCCACCATAAATGGCTTTTAGTTAAAAAGTTTTCATTTCAGACCATCCTCCGTGGTTAGTTTAGGTCTCTGCGTTTGTAAGGCCTCCCAAGCTGGTCTGGTTTAGTATGTGGCCCCTCTTCGTCCACAGCGGCTTGGGTAGAGAGGCCTTCCCTGGCTCCTGAGGGCAAATTATTTCTCCCTAATATGCTCCTTACAACCGACTGTTCTTCTCCTTCACAGCTCTTACTGGGATTGGTCAAACAAACAAACAAAAACAACAACTTATTTGTAGGTTTGTTTGTTTAATGTCTGTCTCCAGGGCTGACTTCAAAAGCCTGCGATCTGATGGGGTTTGCACACTCATTAGTCAGGGCATTGGTCGGCAAACTCATCAGTCAACAGAGCCAAATATCAACAGTACAATGACTGAAATGTCTTTTGAGAGCCGAAAACAGACTTGCGCGCATGAGCCACGAAGTTTCAATCGCACTATAGGGCGCGCCCACACTATAGTGGTATTTTGTGGAAGAGCCACACTCAAGGGGCCAAAGAGCCGCAGATTGCTGACCACTGCCCTAGGAGGGCCCACCACTTGGTTAAACACTCTGCTGTCCTGTCTTGAAATTCTTTTTATTTTTTATTTTTTATATATATATTTTATTGATTTTTTACAGAGAGGAAGGGAGAGAGATAGAGAGCTAGAAACGTCGATGAGAGAGAAACATCGACCAGCTGCCTCTTGCACACCCCCTACCGGGGATGTGCCCGCAACCAACGTACATGCCCCTGACCGGAATCGAACCCAGGACCTTTCAGTCCGCAGACCGACGCTCTACCACTGAGCCAAACCGGTTTCGGCCCTGTCTTGAAATTCTGAACAATTGTTGAATGAGGGGTCCCGTTTTTCATTTTGCACTGCACTCCAACGAGTCATATAGCAAGGCCTGCACAGTGCAGATGGCAGAGAAGATACAGGTTTCCCCCGCTCTCCGAAAGTAGGGGTTTCCTGTGAAATCTTGGGTAAGCTCAATGGCCGAAACGCCAAAAAGCAATCACCATTAATGTACATGGAAAATATTTTCATCATCTCAGACCCCAAAAATAATGTACCAAGTGATACCAAATAACACCTGAAGCTTAAAATACCCGGAACACGTGGTAAAAGCAGGAACGACGTTGTAAATAGACACCAGGCTCTGTCCACTTGTCAATCCAGTCAAGCAGCAGACTTCCCGTTTTACCCACCGAGGGAAGGACCCCTCTGCGACCAGCAGCACCGACAGGAGCAGCGGCAGCTCTCAGGGTTCTCTCTGCCTGCAGAGAGTATGGTGTGGATGCAGGCAAGGTCAGCACACACACAGGGTCTTCATTTCATTCATCACGGTCAAAACACTCAATTACGTACAGTTTTACGCTAAGCCCAACACCCCCTCTGAGCTCTTCGGCTTTTCTGATTCCTTAGGACACATCTCGCTGAGGGAGGCGCAGAATAAACCGGGATAAAGCACAGGTGCTCGCAGACACAGCTCACAGCCTGAGATGCTGAGCATCGGGGAGGAGTTTGGTGCGGCCACTGTCGCTGCCTCTGCCAGGGCTGCTACCAAACAAATGCTGACGGCTGCTTTCCCTTTTCACCTTTTTTCTTTTTTTTAATATATTTTATTGATTTTTTTATAGAGAGGAAGAGAGAGGGATAGAGAGCTAGAAACATCGATGAGAGAGAAACATTGATCAGCTGCCTCTTGCACACCTCCCACTGGGGATGTGCCTGCAACCAAGGTACTTGCCCTGGACCGGAATCGAACCTGGGACTCTTCAGTCCACAGGCCGACGCTCTATCCACTGAACCAAACCGGTTTCGGCAGCAGGCTAATTTTTAAGTTGATAATTTGGTCTGGCCCGTGAATGATGTTATAAATATCCACATGGCCCTTGGCAGGAAAAAGTTCCCCACCCCTGGTAAAGAGAAAGAGGGTACCTCCCTGGGTACAAGTGAGGGGATGTCCTTTTCATTTTTTAGTTTCTGCCACTTCTGTTCTTCCCTCTTCCAGCTTCTTGTTTGGCTGGAGACAGGCGGCAAGAGGGCGCTTCCTGCTGGCTAAAAGTCTGAGCCCCCAGGGCGGCAGGTCACCCTGCATTTTCACTCAGCCTTCACCCACTTCTTTCAGCTTTGGTCCCTCCCACGGCTGATTCTCAGCTCTGTTGTCCTCTTGACTTTTTATTCTTTTCTCTCGGCCTGATTTGGTTTCTCTCAGGCTGTTGGTCTTTGATGGATACGAAAGGCCGATGTGGATTTTCCACATTGGTACTGAAAATCACCAGATATTGGGCGTAGCCTTGAAGTTCCTGTTTTCTCATTGGCTTGGCAAATATTTATTGAACCTCTTTTATGTTCCTCACCTGAGCCCTTCATGGAGTCATCTGCCAATCTGACTGGTCAGATTGTGCTTTGTGGTCAGTGGTTATTGCTTTTAGCCCAAAAGATGGGCTTTTACTGCATTCCTTGTGAATCTGGAATAATCTGGAAATGTGGGCTTAATCCCAGAAGGCCAAGGGTTTATTGCAATAGCATTTCAAAGTTTAATTATGTGGCCACATCTTGCCTGCATGTGAATTCTTAATTTAAAATGTCTGGTACAGAATTAATGTGACTGCCACTTAACATTTTCTGCAACTGTTGTACAAAGAAAACAGGGCTGTGCAAAATGAACTGATACGATTCGGGTGAATGTCTATTCGAAGCAGTGGATGTAATAGAAAAAGCACAAAATTCTTGCTTATCAGGCAATTTAAGCAAGTCTGTTAATCTCTCAGGTGTCTCTATCTGTAAAATGGGGGTTTTGTTATTTGTCTGCTTCTTGAAGTCATTACAAGATTCAAATTTGACCAGGTATGTGAAATCTTTGTACAAGTGATTAACACTATAAAAATAAAGTTTTGACTTGAATTGTATAATCTTTCACTCTCTGGAAAAATTTGAAGACATTAGGGAAGAAAAGGGACATTTGATTACAACTAAGTGTCAGACAGAGAAAGATGTTTTACATTACTTTAATGAATTTGGTGTAAACCACCTCAAAACCATTTTGTAAAGAACATTCTAGACTGTTTGCCCAAGTGAATAGACTTGGTGAGTGGTGGTGTGACTAAGATTACATTCCGGTGTTTGACTCCAAAACCTGTAAGTTCATTCCATTTTCCCCAAATTGCTTGCTGTGGTAGGAAAGAAAACAATACTTATATTATAAAAAGAAAGACTAAATGCTCTATATTTCTATTCTAAAACTAAATATATATTGCTTATCAACCACAATATCACTCTAAATTTAAAAAAACTGAGTTTGTATAACCAAAGCATTAAAATACTGGAAAACCTATATATAATATACTAGAGGCCCTGTGCACGAAATTTGTGCACAGGAAGGGTCCCTAACGGCTGCCGGCGGCCAGCTGGGGCCTTCCTTCATTCTGCATTGCCCCCTGATGGTCAGCACACATCATAGTGAGCGATTGAACTTCCAGTTGGTCGAACTTCTAAGGGGAGACTTTACAAATTAGGCTTTTGTATATATTGGTGGGGTGTTTCTCAGCATCTACAAGGGTTCAAGGAATCTGGAAAAGGGGCTGTGTATAAATTAATGAAGAGACTAGACTTGACATAAAAATTTGGACAACATGGGGGAGCCAGATGGAGCTTAGCTTTAGTGACTAAGTTCTCTGAATCTCTGTACACAGGGCTTTTTATTCACACGCCTTGCCCTCTAGCAAAGCAGACAAAGGTAAAGTTTTATAAACAGTAAAAAGATTATTAGGTTGGGCAACTGCCCTCAGCTATCCTCAGCAGGCAATAATATATGCAAATCTTCAGCCCTGCTGAAGCTGTCCATCAGCCTTCTGGTGAATTTCTCAAATTTATTATGCTAATTACTGGAATTTGCTTCCAGCAATACATATTTATATAGATAGATTCCTCCCCAGGGTAGAATTATTGTGGGTTTTTTATTTTTTTTAATTTTTTTTATTTCAGACTTTTTGTTGTTATTCCCCTGGCAATATCAGTGTATACCTTTGTGTTTTGCAGAATCCTTTAACTTTGGAGTCAGTGAAACAGCTAATTGCAGAAGGCAATAAAGAAGAGCTACAGAAATGTTTCGGGGCTCGCATGGAGTTTGGGACAGCCGGCCTCCGAGCCGCTATGGGAGCTGGAATCGCTCGTATGAACGACTTGACCATCATCCAAACTACACAGGTAACCACATTTTTATAAGTTTTAGTTATTCTTACCATACCCCCAGTGTCAAAAGGTAAACGGAGGCATAATAAACATTTTTAAGCCTATCTGAGCAAAAATCTATTCAAATTGGGTAGTATCCAACTACTGGAAATGGTTAGAAGCCTCCACTGACTTGAGCTAGGAGAACGACTTATTGAGAAGAGGCAGGAAAGCAAGGAAATGAATAGATTGTCTATAGCTCAAGCGATTACCTTATTTGGGAAAGCCTCGGTGGCTATTTGTGGTTGATTGTCCTTTGGTTTGATGCCTTTTTTTGTTTGTTTGTTTTTACTTGTTTTTGACAGACAACTGTTCAGTTTTTATTTCATAATCATAAACTTAACTCTGCAATCCAGCTATACAGGGAAGGAGTAAGGAAATCCCATTCCTTCTGTAGCTCAGGTTTTGATTTCTTTTTAAAAATATATATATTTTATTGATTTTTTACAGAGAGGAAGAGAGAGGGACAGAGAGTTAGAAACATCGATGAGAGAGAATCATCGATCAGCTGCCTCTTGCACACCCCCACTGGGGATGTGCTCACAACCAAGGTACATGCCCTTGACCAGAATCGAACCTGGGACCTTTCAGTCTGCAGGCTGATGCTCTATCCATTGAGCCAAACCGGTTTCGGTAGGTTTTGATTTCTTAACTTGAGTCATTTACAAGCTCACCTTTTGGATTGCTTGACAGGTTTCATTTGCTTACTCAGGCTAATAAGGCACTAAAGCCACCTCAGGCTAACAGCCTCCTTATTGGAGTAACTTAACCCAGGCTCCCTTTGTAAAACAAGTGTAATTTGTTTTGATTACGGCCAGATCTTGTGGGTTTGTCTAGGCCTGTGGTCGGCATACTGTGGCTCATGAGCCACATGAGGCTCTTTGGCCCCTTGAGTGTGGCTCTTCCACAAAATACCACGGCCTGGGTGAGTCTATGTTGAAGAAGCGGCATTAGAAGAAGTTTAAGTTTAAAAAATTTGGCTCTCAAAAGAAATTTCAATCGTTGTACTGTTGATATTTGGCTCTGCTGACTAATGAGTTTGCTGACCACTGGGCTAGGCACAAGGAGTCCCACTTTTACTCTAAAGCATGGCTTGCCTAGTTGGTTGAAACAGTGCTTGTTTCAAAATTCATATAGCCACTTTCATTCATTCATTTAGCAGAGATTTATTGAGTGCCGACTGTGTGCCAGACATTGGGAATACAATAATGACTAAAATAGACTCATGGATCTTTCATTCCAGTGCAAATTCACCAGCTAAGCCGACTGACTTTTATGGCCTTCTAATTTTTGGTTGTGGTTGTACAGGTGCTAGCATTGAAAAGCTTTGGGAATTGCCAGAATCACCGGGAGGCAATTCTATTTAGGTTGAATGAACAATATGGGTGGAAATTATTGCTGAGTTCCCTTGCCTTCATTTGTGAATTTTGCCGCCAGAGTCTAGACCCAACTTTTAGGAAGAGAGATGAATCCTCTGACAAAGCAGAAGAGCCATTGATGAGGGAAATGAAGGAGAACCGATCCTTCTGTCTCCTCAATTACTTAGACTTGAAGGTCATTAGAATGAAGGTCACTTTAGGATGGAAAAATTGATTACGGCAACTGCGTTGTACCTTACATGTACCTCACGGCATAAAAGGCAGCTGGGCACGTTGTAGCAAAACCCTAACAAGACAAGTTACTAGGGCTGTAGAACACATTGCCCCAAACTGATTTTATTTTATTTTATTTTTTTTAATCTTTAAATGAACTAATTTATTATAAAAAAAATAAAAAGTGGGCACATTACAAAGCTAAACATCAGACAAATCCAGTGAATCTAACACAATCTATTTCCATTACAATTATCAGTAAGTCAACCTAGTTAATATATTGCTTCACTTATTCTCTATGCCTTCTTTAAGAAATGATTTCCAAAAGAACAACCTTTAAGCAAGTTATTATAATAAAACTTGTCTACCAAATAATCTATCACAAACACTAGCATCTCAAAGTCTAACACTGAAAGTTTTCAAATTAAAGGTAACATTTTATACAAAAAAAAATCCAAACAGTGATTTTACACGGTTCATGCAATGTGAGTGGAGCTCAGTGTGGACAGCCAGTCTCTGCTACCCAGGTGTCACGTGAGCCAGCGAGGATCCTGGAATCACCTGAGAGCTCCCTCATTCACAGGTCTGCAGTTCTTGCTGGCTCTTGGCTAGGATCTTAGCTGGGGCTGGACCACTACCTGTGGCCTGGGCTTCCTTACAGCATGGGGCTTGGGATAGCATCCAGACAGTGGGTGCCAGGAGGAGGCTGTACTGACTCTAATAACCTCACCTTGAAAATCACCCCAAATCACTTACTTCCACCATGTTGAATTTGTCTTACAAGACACTCATGTCGCGTTGGAGGAACATCAATGTCACATGAGAGAAGCATGTGGGATGGTGTGGCTATCTTTGGAAAATTCAATTGGTCACACCTCTAATTAGGCCTAATGAATGGTAGGGGATTCTAAGAGCTTCTCATTGAACATACACTGAGTAGCCAGATTATAATGATCTCTGAATGCATAATAATCTGGACACTCAGTGTATATCCTATATAATAAAAGGCTAATATGTAAATTGTCTCCTTGACCAGGAGTTTGACCAGCAGGCAGGCTGGCCAACTGCCCATGTCCCCTCCCCCTGGCCAGGCTGGTCAGACCCCACCCCCATGCATGAATTCATGCACCAGGCCTCTAATATATATATGCTGTGGTCAGAGTGGACAGAGACTGGTCAGAGACTGGAGGGAAATTTTTGTATTGTTTGCCTCATTCGTTGAGGTTGTAATTTCCTCTTAGGTTACTTAACTGAGCGGTGGGACATGAATGATGGGGAACTCTCAGTCTTCTAAAATAGCCATTCTGTCTTTGGAGAATGGTTGTCATCAAAGGAGGCTTTCACTATTTTGAGTCAAAAACCTGTCTTTCGGTAGCTTTTTCATATTGGTCACCGTTGGGCCTTTTGAAGCCAGACAAAGTTTATTTCTTGTGTCCTAGGGTAACATTTCAATTGGGCAACCTCCTTCATCCCACATCATGCCTTTTCTTAGCCATGCTTTCAGGTTCTCAGTCTCTGCAGGTTCCAGAGTCGCTGAGCGATTTGGAGATGTGAGGATTGTGGACCAAGGCTTTTTGCCTTCTTGAACTTTGGGATCACAGCAGTTGGCCAGGATGGGGAGAGGGTGCTCTCCCTGTTGTAAGCTTTGGATTGTGAGCATCAGGGCTTTCTGGGAAACCCACAAAACCAACACACATGTGTCCTTCTCCCTTTGTATCACTCACCTCGGAACGTATGCCAACGCAGTGTTTTTGTCCGGGAAAAACTAAAGGCGAGCTAGATAGGCGATGCTCTGGCAACAAAGCCAGGAATATCCTCTCTCCCAAAAGTGACTTCCTTCGGCCAAAGTGAAATCAGTGATATGAACCATCATTATTACCCGGTCAACCTTTGTTCTCTGATAAAACCTGTTTTATCCAATATTCTGAACCTGTTGAATTCAAAGGTCACTGTTTTGTGATCTTTCATATCTCAGATTGAAGTGATGTTCTTGCACCCACTGGGATACAAGACTTGTGTGGGGTTTTTTGTTTTTGTTTTTTTAAAAAATATATATATTTTATTGATTTTTTACAGAGAGGAAGAGAGAGGAATAGAGAGTTACAAATATCGATGAGAGAGAATCATTGATCAGCTGCCTCTTGCACACCCGCTACTGGGAATGTGCCCGCAACCAACGTACATGCCCTTGGTAGGAATCGAACTTGGGACCTTTCAGTTCACAGGCTGACACCCTATCCACTGAGCCAAACCTGTTTCGCAGGAATTGTGTGTTTATCATTTCTAGGCAAGTGTATGAGCTTGCATACCTGCATACTTTTTATTTGTATAATTGACTGTGTCATGTGTTTGGACTGATATGGCCCTCCTTAAGACCTCTACCTAATTAAAAACAATATTATAAACAAACACGTTTAGAGTAGTCATTTGTCAAAACCTTATCAAATGTATTGAGTCCCTTTGACTTGCTGCTGGTACAGAGCAGGCAGAAATATCTGAAACACCCCCCCTCTCCTCAGGCACTTAGAACTAAAGTAAAAGAAAGAATGTAGGCTTTAAAGGAAAATAAAAATAGTGCTTTCTTGGTGTTAGATTCTCAGCACTTGGCATATTTTAACTCGTTTATTCCTTACAACAGCCCATTGAGATAGGTACTATTCTTATTCTTGTTACACAGAACAGGAAACTGGGGCACCAGGAGATTAAGGAACTTGTCATTTGCTTGTAGGTGGCAGAGTGGAGTCCAAACGCATAGACACTGTGCTTTTAACCCAGCACTGAACCCCTCTAACCAAACCTGGGGAGCAAACCCAGGCTCTGCTACTCTTGTACCTGGGCAAGTCGCTGAGCATCTCTTAGCCTTAGTTTTCCCACCTGAAAAATGGGACTTCTTGGCAAAGTTGATCTAGGGCTAGCGATATTAGATATTAAGTGTCAGCAAGCATATAGATAAACCATAAATTAAGCTTTTGTTTTCCCGTTGTTCAGTTTGTTTAATTGCTGAGGGATTTCTTCCCTCTCTGCTACAATGCTGTCTTCTGGAAATAAAGAAAAATTGACCAATTTATCATACACATGATATGTTAAAACATATATATATATTCTTTTAAGCCATGGGGTGTTTTTTGTTTGTTTGTTTGTTTGTTTGTTTGTTTGTTTAGGGATTTTGCAGATACCTGGAAAAACAATTCAGTGACCTGAAGCAAAGAGGTGTCGTGATCAGCTTTGATGCCCGAGCTCACCCAGCAAGTGGAAGCAGCAGCAGAAGGTATTTAAAGATGTTTATGCTGGAGGACTAAGAAGACTGAGTCTGATGAAATAAGACTCTGTTGATACAATCCTCCTAGAAAAAAAGGGTTGGAGAAAGCAGCCCTTATTGGAGAATATCACAGGGTTGACTGAACTACCCAACATTTTGCAAACAAAATATTTGTGAACGTATTTCTTTGTAGTGATTCTGTGGTTTTATTTTTAATCATCATTTCAATAGCTTGCTTTAAAAAAAAATTTGTCAGCTATATTGCTTAACTGCAAAAATGATGGGTAAATTCTGTTTGCAACTTTTAAGGATTCTATTTTTATGTTTGGGTTAAGAAAATGAAATTATTTTGACAATTTAGAATTTAATACCTGACTGAAAAAAAAAAAATTTTTTTTTTTTTAGTGGCAACCTTATTTCTCCTCACTTCCTTATTATTATGTAATTTTTTCCTTCTACTACTCATAAGCTTCCTGATCTCCTTCCATTCTTGCATGCCCATTTTAAGCTTTATTCTTACAACATTCCCAGGCCAAGGGGAGTCTTTGTTATGTAGCTATAGAAAGATGATGATGACGATGGTGATGATAATGTGATGATGCTGGTAATAATGGTGGTGGTAATAATGGTGGTGGTGATTATGATGATGATGACGATGATGATAATTGATGATGGTAGTGATAATGGTGGTGATTATGATGATGGTGATGATGATGATGATGGTCATGGTCATGATGATGAGTGTGATGGTGGTGATGATGATGGAGTAGTGATGATAGGACAGCCATCATTTGAGTGCTGAATGTGAGCTAGACACTTAAGTATTACTCATTTAACCCTCACAACAACCTTTAAGGCATGTACTTTTATCTCTCTGCTCTAAGATCATAAAGTGAAAGAAGAAGCCACAATTTAAACATAAGAAGGCTAGCGCCAGGAGTTGGCAAACTTTTTCTCTAAAGGGCAAATAGTAAACATCTTATACCTTGTGGATCGTACACTCTCTTTCACAATCACAGATTCTGCCATGTAGCACAAAAATAGCCATGGACGGCACATAACTGAATGGGCATGCTCATGTTCCAGTAAAACCCTATTTACAAAATGAGCTGTAGTTGCCAATCCCTGCTCTTCTTAACCATGCAGTGTGATTTTTTTTTTTAACTTAAATACTTCTAGTAAGAATTTTTAAAAATATATATTTTATTGAATTTTTACAGAGAGGAAGGGAGAGGGTTAGAGAGCTAGAAACGTCGATGAGAGAGAATCATTGACCAGCTGCATCTTGCACGCCCCCTACTGGGGATATGCCCGCAACCAATGTACATGCCCTTGACCGGAATCGAACCCGGGACCTTTCAGTCCGCAGGCCGACGCTCTATCCTCTGAGCCAAACCGGTTTCTGCCTAGTAAGAATTTTTTAATCACTTCAGAGTATAAGTATTAATATTTCTTGGATTGGAAGAACAAACAGATACTTAATATTAATGAAATTCTCATGAACTCTACAGTGCTGTTTGAGGTCAGAGTCCTAATCTTCACCTTTCCGGAACTTGTAGCCTAAGAGAGAAGCATTAATGGGGACAAATGTGTGGCTGGGAGGGAACATGATCAGGGCCAAGGACTAGATGACATCAGATTGAACTCAGGATGACCTAAGGCTTTTGATCTTCAATTGCAGGCTCAAAAAAGTGATTTTTTTCCCCCTCCCAACAAAGCAAGAGAGAAGTTGTAGCTCTCAGGGACAGATGCACATGGATTACATTTTCAAGAGAATGATGTTGTACAAACCAGAATAACAGTTTGTCACTTTCCAGTTCATGAACGCACCCTTAGAATTAGGTCACGCGCATGCTTTACTGACCCCAGGGGCTGCTCACATCCCCCAGCCAGAGCAGGTACAGTATATGTGGCTAATTCTGCTTATTTGGCTTCTCAGATTTCTTCATTTCAGGCTGACTATCCTGTTTCTGGTTGACACATCCTTTAGATGTGTTAACAATGTCAATTAAAGTACAGGTATTTCTTGCTTTGGCCTTGGAGCCACATTATTTTCAAGAAGTAATTGATGTTATTAATTCTACTTAAGTTTATGGTTCAGGTTTCAGAGTGGGCTGGGATGGGATGGGATGAGAAAGGTTAGAGCTCAGGGCTACAACATGTAAGCGTTTAGAGACTGTAGCCTCAATATTAAACATGGGAAAGGACTCAGGATCAGGCAATGGAAGCTTCTTAACGAGTTGGGTACTATGGTAGTCTCAGAATTTTACCTAAGGAAATGTTTATTCATTAATCTTTCAATTTTAAATAGTGGATGGGGAACTGTTAAGCATATGCAGAGAACACATTGAATTTTTTTGTGCACATTTGTATCTTAGTTCATATGTCTATATATATAAAAGCCTAAGGGACCATCGCCACTGAACGGATGACTGAACAGGCTGCATGGGGCAACTAGGCCAGCAGGGTGTTAGTGAGGGGCCACCAAATGACCAAAGAGCAGGCTGCATGGGGCAATCAGACCTGCGGGAGGCAGGCAGGTGAGCAGTTAGGAGTCAGTGGTCCCGGATTGTGAAAGGGCCTAAACCGGCAGTCAGACATCCCCTTAGGGATTTCATATTGGAGAGGGTGCAGGCTGGGCTGAGGGGACAATAATCATTTATACAGGGTGGGGCAAAAGTAGGTTTACAGTGGTTTGTATGGGGGAAAATGCAATAATTAATAATGATACAAGAATAAACTCAGTTTCACATACAGTGGTGTGTGTTGAGTGTCTCCTTTGCCAACTTCAAGAAGGTGCCTTTAAAATCAGTCTGAATGTTTCGTGACTTCCTTGCCATTCATTCTAGGAAATACAGTTCAGATTTAATTCAGATTTTTATTAAACTTGGTTTTGATGAATTTTTCTATTTTTCTGACTCTCTCCTATGAAGAGACCTTCTTCTCCTGTCAAAATCATTCTATATTACTCTTGATCTTAGGAATTGTCACTGCAGAGATCTCTTGTGCCCCAGCCAGCTCCCGGAATTTGGGGAGAGAATGAACGATCGGGTTCATTCTGTAATGTAGAATGTTGTTCACTGGAAGTAAATTGCTCATTTATTGAGGTAGCATATTTTACTCCAAGCATGAATAAAGACTCGATGCCCTATGTCCTGCCCTAAGCCAGTAGCTGTAGAAGTTAAGAAAAATGTCAGTGACATTTAAGTCTTGTAAGGCTGAATGAAGCTAAGGTATCTATATGACATCTACATATATGTCACATACATATATATGACACACACATCATATGCCAATAAGATACCATGTAATTAAATGGTAGTCTGCATGAGCTACACTGGATTGTGATAGCTCTACGTTAGAGTTTCCCAGTCTCTGCACTATTGACATGTGACTTCACGCTGGGCCAGATAAATCTGTTGTGGGGGACCGAATGAAGCTAAGATGCAGGGTGTTTCGTGGCATCCCTTACGTATACCCACTAACGCCCAGTAGAACCTTACTCCTACCCCCGGTGACAATCAGAAGCGTCCTCAGACGTTTCAGAATCCCCATGGGACAGAACCTCTCTTGGCCAAGAACCACGGAGGTAGACCAGGAGTCCAAAGACTCGGGTGTAGGCCTGGCTCAGCTGCTAAGTGTCTGTTGGCACGTGGGACACGCTATCTGGCCTTTCTCAGCTCTCGTCCCATTTCTGTGAAACAGGTACACAAGTAAAAGGTTCCTCCAGCGCTAGTATTCAATGCCAGTGGGAACTTATTAAGGTTTTCCTTGCTCTGGCTGCTATGCTCAATCCAGAGAAGTGGCCAGGCCTTCATTTGCTTCTTCACTGCCACCTGCGGTGCTGACCACTCCGCTCTCCTTTCTCCCCCCAACTCGCTGCGTTTCCAGGTTTGCCCGACTTGCTGCAACCACGTTCATCACTCAGGGGATTCCTGTGTACCTGTTCTCTGACATCACCCCGACCCCTTTTGTGGTAAGTAGCCAGTTCATTTCATAATTTCCTGTCATAGGGGTGGGGGAGTACATGGCTGGATTTTACAGGCTTTGTGCTATTGGGACTCAGGTATTTGAATGACAGGAGAACGCCTGGCATTTATTGGGTGTCCTTTCTTCTCTCCAGGAATGTTTCTTTCACATGCTAATAATATGTCTCCGATGTTCAACTTTTGATTTTTCAGAATTAATATATATTTTTAAAATATATTTTTATTGATTTTTTACGGAGAGGGACAGAAAGCTAGAGGAAGAGAGAGGGACAGAAAGAGAGAGGGACAGAAAGCTAGAAACATTGATGAGAGAGAATCATCAATCAGCTGCCTCCTGCACACACCTTACTGGGGATGTGCCCGCAATTAAGGTACATGCCCTTGACCGGAATCGAACTTGGGACCTTTCAGTCCACAGGCCGACGCTCTATCCACTGAGCCAAACTGGATTTGACCAGAATTGATATTTTTAAGTGCAGTTTTTCTTTTGCTTATATTCAGAAGATATTTTAGCTTGTTAGCAAAATGTCATGTGTGTGTAATTTGGCCTGTAGTTGTTTTTCCCAGCTATTACAGTAAGAAAACCTCTTATATCTAAATCTGAATTCACCTCCAGCCACACTTACCATGAATATTTTTGACAAGTTAATGCACCAGCTTTTTATGTAAATGTACATTCTAAATAGTATTCATGGCCAGTATAGAAAGCATGCTTGGCATGTGTTAGTAAGATTTTATTAAATACTTAATGTAGCAGAATCTAAAGAAAAGGAGCACAGGGACTGTGGCAGCTGTTGTTTTTAAGTAGATAGAACTTTTATGAGTGGAGCCAGATGTTAAGAATATATATTTTTTAGAAATTAAGCCAGAAACATGATCTGAATACAGTTGCTTACATTAAGCAGAAATGAAAGTGGATGGATATAGGAGAAGTAATGCCCATTGGTTTGTGTTTACTGTCTCCAGCACACTGACAGGTAGAGGCAGCACCTTCGAGACTATAAATAACCCAGGGGTCACTCAATGTCACATTCAAATATAGTTCTGGTTTTATTGTTTGATGGAAAAATTGCAATGTTTTTGAGCATCCTTGTTTTCTGTAGTATGTGTTTATAGCAATGTTATCATTTCTATTATTATTATTAGTCTTCACCCAAGGATATGTTTTTTCCATTGATTTTTAGAGAGAATGGAAGGGAGGGAGAAAAAAAGTGGGGGAGATGGAGAGAGGAAAAGAGAAATATTGATGTGCAAGAAAAACATTGATATGAGAGAGACACATTGACTGGTTGCCTCCCACATGCTCCCTGATCAGAGTGGAGGTAACCTGCAACCCAGATACATGCCCTTGACCCAGGAACCAAAACTGTGACCCTTTGATCCTTGGGCCAGTGCTCTAACCATTGAGAAAACCGGCCAGGGCAATAACAATTTTTTTTATATATCAGACATGAATTAAATGAGTGTCTCATGATCACTTCCCACTCCATGGAGTGGTTCTCCCTTTCCTTTGCTCCAGCACACATGGCGGATGTGAGAAAACTCCTAAGGGGACAAATAGCCACTTAATGGGAGGTGGAGGGACACGTGGTTAGGTCTCGGTTGCCTGTGCGTGGTCAGTCTCATGTGTGGCCACAGAGGGGACATGTCCCTTTCCTCATTTTGAGAAGTAGTCTTATAAAGATAGGAACCAAGTAGAAATACAAGAGAGGGAGCTTTTATTCTGGAGCGAAGATAAATGAGCAAGGTATAATGTTTTCCTTAGAAGCAAATAGGGGGAAAGAAGAGAAGAGAAAGCAGTGAGAGGAAATTAACTGGATTTTTATGCTTTTGTCCCAAGAAGAAGGCTTAAAAGAATGTGAAATGGAAGATTAGACCATCTTATGGTTTGGAGCGTTTTCGAGCTCTACCGAGTAGAAGACAATGAGAAGAAGGCACCTAGGGAAATGTTCTCCTTATTAGGGCACATGTCCCAGAATTTTGAGCAGTGAGTTAGTTCTAAGGGTAATAAGAGAATACTGTTGGGTATGGCATGAAAATACTGAATGACAGGTTATGATATTTATATATTACTAGAGGCCTGGTGCACAAAATTTGTTCATGGTTAGGGTCTCTATGCCTGGCCGGCGATCAGGGTCGATCTGTGGGGCGACCAGCTGGATGATTGGGTTGATCCCTACTGGCACCCACCTTAGCTGGCCTGGGGCCTGCTGTCTGGGAGCATCTCCTGCATTGAGCATCTGCCCCCTGGTGGTCAGTGCACATCATAGCGACCGATCTTTCCATTGGTCATTCTGCCATTGGGTCAATTTGCATATTAGGCTTTTATTATGTAGGATGTTTATTAAAAGGGAGCAACTTGGTACAAACAAACAACATAGAATAGACATTTTACATATACCTAATGTATGTGTGTGTGTTTAAAACTGCTCTTGTTTCCTGCCGTGACAGCCCTACACAGTGCTGCATTTGAAACTTTGTGCTGGGATCATGATAACCGCCTCCCACAATCCGAAGCAAGACAACGGTTATAAGGTACTTTTATTTTTCTGCCCACATGTGTGTCCTTCTCCACGAACCCTAGCCCTCTACAGTGTGGGAGCACAGGGAGTGGATGCGTTTCCATTAACCGCATCCCGTCTGGATGTGCTCCTGCGTCCTCAGGTCTACTGGGAGAACGGAGCTCAGATCACCCAGCCGCATGACAAAGGGATCGCCCAGGCCATCGAGGAGAACCTGGAGCCGTGGCCTCAGGCGTGGGATGACTCCTTACTTAACGGCAGCCCGCTCCTTCACGACCCCAGTGCTTCCGTCTCTAAGGACTACTATGAAGACCTTAAGAAATACTGTTTTCACAGGTACATGGGTTGCATGTGGGATCCTTTAACAAGACCTACGTGGTTCAGGGACCACTCAAGAGTCCAGTTTCTGGAGAAGGCCACACACTGAAATGAAGAAAGACTGGAAAAGAGTTAGTTTGGGAAAATGGGGGTCAGGCAGGAATCCACCTCTAAGGGAGGACTACCCCACGCTCTGGCCTTTTACCATTCCTTTTATTGAGATTCTGAGACAAAGACATCCGTTAGGCAGAAAATTCCAACAGAAAATCAACAAGAATTTACTTATGATTAACAAATTAAAGTTGCTTCAACTCCCACTACCTCAACTAAACCATGAGTTAATAGCTCCGACCATTCAGAGCCAGCAAGGTCGGCCAGCTCCCTTGACATTTTACTACCAGTGACAATGTTCCCTTTCGGCAGTTGCACACTCACCTCAGGTGAGTTCAGTTAGTGTGATTCAGCCTGGTTCCCTCACTTCACCTGATACATACACTGTAGCTGCGTCTGATGTTAGAGGCTGTGGATTGGGGATTGGTAACTTTCCTTAAAGAGGCAGATAGTGGATATTTTTGGTTTTGGGAGCCATATAGACTGTCACACCTGCCCAGCTCTGCTGTCGTAGGAAAGCAGCCGTAGATAATAAGTGAATGAGCGCAAACCTCGCTGTGTTCTAAAAAAATAAGTTTGTTTACAAAAGCAGCCCTAGCTGGTTTGGCTCAGTGGCAGGTGGGTGGACCATCGGCCACAGTTTGCTGACCTCTGCTGTCGATTCATATATGTGTGTGTGAGTGTATGTGGGATATGTGTATACATAAAACTTGTTGGAAGGTGTTGAGTAGGAAACACTGCCTTTTATTCATCTTTCCAGAAGTTTTCTGTGCATATGCAAGCATACATACATGCAATATATTTCAAAACCAGCAATAGGAATATACTGTGTGTGTTGTTTGTGTGATGCCTTTTCTCTCCAGTTAATTTGTCATGGATACCTTCTCTATCACCCCTGCTAGTCCTGACCCTTGTTTTTGTAGTGTCTGCTGTGCCCAGTGACACAGACTCAGTAATGACCATGAAATAAGAAGCAGACAAGCTGAACTTGTGTAGTTTGCTGTGGGTCCACCACTCCTCATTATCCCCCTAGTAAGAAGTGAAATTTCTAGGTTGTGTCTAATATTGTAGTTATTGGACCACCTGGGAGTGGAGGCTCCTGCGTAGCCTGTGTACCTTTGGTTGTATATGAAGGGGTAGCCTTGCCAGCTGGGCAAATGTCATCCGGAATTGCCAGGCCATCTGAATTTTTCTCCCTAAAAAAAACTGGAAACCAAGATTTTGTTTGTGAAATCTCCTAATTGTTAAAAGTTGGGAATAAGTAAAACATTTCTTTGAGCCTTCCTTCTGTCCCTCTGAGGCAGCTTCACAAAGACAGGGTTTCTGCCAGTCTAGAGTGGCTCAGTTGGTTGAATGTCATCCTGTGCACCTAAAGGTTGCCAGTTCAATTCCCAGTCAGGGCACATCCCTAGGTTGAGGGTTCATTCCTTGGTCAGGGCATTTTTGGAAGGCACGGATTGATGGTTCTCTCTCACATCAATGTTCCTCTCTCTCTCTCTTTCCCTCTCTCTCAACATGTCTCTGGTGAGGATTAAAACAAAGCAAGCCGAAACCGGTTTGGCTCAGTGGATAGAGCGGCAGCCTGAGGACTGAAAGGTCCCGGGTTCGATTCCAGTCAAGGGCATGTACCTTGGTTGCAGGCACATCCCCAGTAGGAGGTGTGCAAGAAGCAGCTGATCGATGACTCTCTCTCATCGATGTTTCTAACTCTCTATCTCTCTTCCTTCCTCTCTGTACAAAATCAATAAAATATATTTAAAAAAAAAAACAAAACTAAGCGTTTCCAGTTTGGGCCATTCCAAGGAGCTCTTAAGCAGTTACTAGAATCCGTGTGTCCGTGTCTGTGTGTGTGTCTAAGCATACGCATTTCCATGTGTATCCTTAGGTACATTTTTGGCGTCAGAATTGTATGTGCATTTACAAAGTTGATAATGGTTTACAAATTGCTCTCCAAAAATATTAGTTGACATTCCCACCAGTGGGGTATGAGCCACATTCTTACCTCACTGAGTACTAATATTATCAAGTTTCTCCTGTTTCACATTTTCTGTGATGTGTCTTGTTCCAGGAGCGTGAACAGGGAGACCAAGCTGAAGTTTGTGCACACCTCCGTCCATGGCGTGGGTCACAGCTTTGTTCAGTCGGCGTTCCGGGCTTTTGACTTTGTTCCTCCCGAGGCTGTTCCCGAACAGAAGGATCCCGATCCTGAGTTCCCAACAGTGAAATACCCGAACCCCGAAGAGGGTAAAGGTGTCCTGGTAACCTCACATTTTTATTTATAAAATTTGCCTCTTCTATTCAAAACTATAACTACCAAGTACAATATGGTTTTTTATGTGCTTTCATGGTATGGAACAAAAATAATTTCATCATTGGAAATATTTATATTTATTAATTGTCCATTTCTTAAAGGAACTTTCAAATTAGATATGTTAGCATCAGGATATGAGAGCTGAAATCTAAATGTTTTAAATTCAATTTAATGAATTAAGTTTAAGTTACTGTGCTTCCTTAATGCCAAAAGGAAACAGTAATCAAATGGAAGTTTATCCCATCGATTTTATTCCTTAATTGTCATTTTTCTGATATGAGGGAGTACTGTTTAAATTATGGTAGGGTGACGACGGGATTCAGAGAGCCAGTTTATTTTGGTTTGTTTGTGTGGTTGATCCCATGGGAAGCCAGGAAAAACCACTCCAAACTGCTCACACACGGTCCGCTGTGGGTGAATTCCAGGGGCAGGCCTGGCGCGTGCTCTGGTTCTCCCGTTATCTGGCCTGGCTCAGGAAGAAATGCCTGACCAGCTCTAGAAATAAAATTCAGCCCAAGTTTGTCGAAAATTCTCTTTTGGTTCTTCAATAACTGAACGTGTTTGTTTTTATTTTAAAGTCTGCAATATACTTGATTCTAGGTGGAAATACTCTTCCTTTCTGCTCTTTTCCAGAATTTATCTTTTGCTTTGGCTGACAAAATCAAGGCCAAAGTCATTTTAGCAAATGACCCGGATGCGGATAGACTTGCTGTGGCAGAAAAGCAAGACAGGTACAAATTCATTGCGATTGCCTACGTCAAAGAAACTGTAAAGGGGGAGAGCTTGGGCCGGGAAACGCTCCTGGTGAGACTGGACCTGTTTGGCACTATTTCCCATTTATTTTGCAAATGATCAACTCCATGGATTTCTGGCGCACCTTCCAGCACCGAGCAGGGTGCTGACCCGGCTGCTACACGTTTACTCTGCAAGCACAATGCAGAGTGAGCCCTCCCAGGTGAACCTGGAATTGAGATTACTCTGTTATCTTTTTATCATTGATTTCTTTATAATTAATGACTCAGTGCCTAAGGAGGACAAAGGGCTTTGCTTGGTGCTGGCTCCACAGACCTTTATTCGCCAGCGGGTTTGGTAAGGTAGGGAGCTGACCTTCGAGGAAAAGTTAAACTCAAGTTGAGCAGACTAGAGAGGAACGCCTGGAGAGCGCTGACAGTGTAAGGCAAGCTGGCTGTAGAGTTTGCACATGGGTGATAAGTTGGGGGGTGGGAGGCGATGGAAGACAGGCAGGGATCAAGCAGTTTCAGGGATCGCGTGGCATATGTGATGTTTGGGGGTAGTGGGGTACTGATAAAGGATTAGGGTTTTAGATTATGATGAAACAGTCAATTCTGTATCTGTTTTTAGAGAATTAAGCTAAGGTAATACGTGCTGAAACGTGCAATGTACTTCTAGCCACGTGGACCACAGAAAGGAAGACAAATCCCACTCATGTTTTTTAATATATATTTTATTGATTTTTTACAGAGAAGAAGGGGGAGGGATAGAGAGTTAGAAATATTAGTGAGAGCGAAACATCAATCAGCTGTCTCCTGCAACACCTTCTACCGGGGATGTGCCCGCAATCAAGGTGCATGCCCTTGACCGGAATCGAACCTGGGACCCTTCAGTCCACAGGCCGATGCTCTATCCACTGAGCCAAACTAGTTAGGGCCCCACACATGTTTTTTGGCATCCTCACCATTGTAGCACAGAGCTCAGTCTTAAGGAATGCTAAGCTGTTGCCCTCTCAGAGTCCATCATACAGACCAAAAGTTGAGACGTACACCCTATTATAGTTGGGGGATCTTGTCAGCATATTTCTGTTGGGTTGAAAAACAGCCTCTGCTGAAAACCAAGAAAACAGGAATGGTGTGTGTCATCACCGACTTACTTTTATACGCTCTTCAGAGATTGGGTGTTTGTCGGGGCACACTGGCCGAAACGCGATAGACACTCACATGTTTGGGAAGCGGCAGTCACGTTTCTGGCCAGTTATTCAAACAACAATAACAGGGCGTCTTCCAGAAACGACCGTGCACCTTGTTTAGCTTCCTTGTCCCGTTGCAGTGACTCCCAGCGTCTCCGGAGACCTCCCTCAGAAGTGCCCAGTTGTTTTCTCTTTCAGTGGTGAGTGGAGAGTGTTTTCCGGCAATGAATTGGGGGCCCTCTTGGGCTGGTGGCTCTTTACTTGTTGGAGAGAAAAGAACCAAGGCCCCAGTGCCCTCAAGGACACCTACATGCTGTCCAGCACCGTCTCCTCCAAAATCCTGCGGGCCATTGCCTTGAAGGAGGGTTTTCACTTTGAGGTGAGGTGCTTTGGGGGGATGTGGTCTTTCGCCTCTCGTTTGCTCTGCTGAAGGTCTAAGACGCATCCTTCTGTTTTGGATTATCCCCTTAGGAGACATTAACTGGCTTTAAATGGATGGGAAACCGAGCCAAGCAGCTGATAGACCAGGGGAAGAATGTCTTATTTGCATTTGAAGAAGCTATCGGTAAGAAGCCATGTGATGCTTATAGAATTTGTTGGTACCCAGGATGCAAATACGTGAGAAAATAAGTGGATGTGGATTGGGGTTCAGCAAATTAGTGTGACAGGAGCACACAGGTTGCTTTCCTTCTGTGGCAAAGAGCATTGAGCTGTCCTACCCCTAAATGGGCAACCCAGGTTTCATTCAGCTAAAAAGAATATCTGGCAAATAACCAAGTCATTAATGTGAGAGAGGGAATCCTTTCCCCAGACGACCCAAAACAGCGATACTATGCGCATGGCTGCTGGCAGCGTAAGAATCCACATTTTGGGCGAGTGTGATGTTTCCTCAGCTGCGGAGTGGATACCCAGACCTAAGTGTTCTGTCCACAGGGAAGAAGGCCGAGTCGTGGTGCCTTCATCAAAGTCATTGTCATCTGAAAGGATGACCCCCCAGCCCAGCCAGGATGACAGAAAAGCACTTGTCTGAAACTGCCAATAGGAATGAGCAGGAAGGAGTGTGAACCGCAGACGCCTGAAATGCAGGTGTTTGCACTGGGGATATTCGAGCTATTCATTCAGAAAAAGCTCTCAGACATCATACTTATTCTATAGTATATATTCTTCTGATTCATCTCTATACTGCCTGCAGCACCGTAACATTGAACCAACTGATCGCACGAAGTGGAATTGCTCAGCGTTGTTCCTTTTTTGGTCGCAATTGGCAATCTTGTCTTTCTACAGCTTTTCATTTAACAATATTTTTGCATTGATTTATTAAATATTTACTGCATGTCAGTTACACAGTCATTCTGAAAGAAAGGGGCACTGACCTCTGCCTACAGCCGTTGCCAAGGATCTAGTTAAATAACCACACAGAAGACACTGGGCCAGGAACCACGATGAATAATATATCTCACAAGAATTATGGGAATTCAGGGAAGACAGCATAAGCCTTGACTAGAACAACTGGAAACAGTTCTGTAGGAGCTGGACCTAGGAAACAAGCACCATTTGTCTAGGAGGAAGACTCTCCTTATAGGCTATTCAACAAATACTTCTTGAAGGCCTGCTATGTGCTGAGCACTGGGCTAGATTCTTAACTGTAATACTGGCAAATGAGAAGCATCTATCTACTTATACTGTACAGCCTCTTATGTGATAGGCAGGGTCCGTGTAGATACATGCACCACAGTGTTGTAAAGGAGCCCACCCCTAAGCGTCCATGTCTGACATGTGTTTCTGCAGGATATATGTGCTGCCCTTTTGTTCTGGACAAGGATGGAGTCAGTGCCGCCGTCATAAGCGCAGAGTTGGCCAGCTTTCTTGCAACCAAAAATCTGTCTCTGTCTCAACAGCTGAAGGCCATCTATGTCGAGTAAGTTTCTATTTTCTTTTTTAATATATTTTATTGATTTTGTACAGAGAGGAAGGGAGAGAGATAGAGAGTCAGAAACATCGATGAGAGAGAGTCATCGATCAGCTGCCTCTTGCACACCCCCTACTGGGGATATGCCCGCAACCAAGGTACATGCCCTTGACCGGAATCGAACCTGGGACCTTTCAGTCCCCAAGCCGACGCTCTATCCATTGAACCAAACTGGTCCCGACAAGTTTCTATTGATTATTGAATTAAAGTCATGTAATTTGATTAGATTCATGTGTACAATGTAATGATTCAATACATGTATATATTGGGACATGGTTGCCACAATAAATCGTTAACATACATCACCACCTGTGGCAATATATTTTAAGTATTACGTTCTTACATATGAGATACTAATATTCTTTCCAAGGCTCTGACTTTAGTTATGAATTCTATTTCTTAAGAAAATGAAACGAGATTATCTTTTCCTTTGGATACTTACCATTTGTGATAGCACTAATCTTTATTAAATGAGAACATTACACAGAATGTGATTTTAAGTGTCTTATGCCGAAAAAGATTACATGTGTTCATGAAACATCTATTTAGTCTTTATAGCAATTTCTCAACTCTTGCCTTTCTGGTGCTAAAGCAGCCAGACACAATACACAATATAATGGGCGATTGATGGCTGGTCTAGTAAAACTGTACTTACAAATGTAGGCTGAAGGCAAGGTAGCAGCTTGGCGATCCCTCGGGTAAATTGTCGCACCTCCTTTTCAATGCTAAATTATTGCTCTGAAGCTAGCCATGGTCATTTGTCTCATTAACTAATTGAGAATGTGCTGGTTGGTGCTCGTTCTGTGTACACTATATAGAATTATTTGTTCCTTATTTTGCATGTATTTGTATTTGTTTTGATAGGTATGGCTACCATATCACCAAAGCTTCATATTTTATCTGCCATGACCAAGGCACCATTAAGAAATTATTTGAAAACCTCAGAAACTATGATGGGAAGAATAATTATCCGAAAACTTGTGGCAGATTTGAGATTTCTGGTATCAGGGACCTTACCACTGGCTATGATGATGGCCAGCCTGACAAAAAAGCGGTAAGTCACATCCATGTTCACCAAACTCTTGTCTGTTGTTGATTTCAAAGAGGAAGAGGGAGGGAGAGATAGAAACATCAAGGATGAGAGTACTGAAAGGTCCTGGGTTTAATTCCAATCGAGGGCATGTACCTTGGTTGCAGGCACATCCCCAGTGGGAGGTGTGCAGGAAGCAGCTGATTGATGTTTCTCTCCCATCGATGTTTCTAACTCTATCCCTTTCTCTCTGTAAAAAAAAAATCAATAAAATATACTTTTAAAAGCACAGAGTTATAGTGAAACATGGCAGATCCAACCGTATCTCCTCTCAGTTTTTACTTCTGGTCTTTACCGACAGGTTTCTAAATACTGTGCTTATATGGTGATGCTTTGAATTATCAGTGTTAGACTCAGAGATAAGGATTTAGTTCTTAGACTTCCAGCATTCACCGTTTCCCTTCCTCCCTGTCCTCACAATACATTCATACCATAACTTCGGGTGCCATCAGATTCTGTGCTTGTATTAATATGGCAGAGGGTGAGGATCCGAGAGGGTCTGACAGCTACTTTCAAACACCACCTTGCCTTTCCCCTGCCCTTTGCAGTCCCTGGTGCCTCCGGTAGTGAGCGTGGCAGGGTTCTGCAGAACACCTTGCCTGGGTTCTCGTCTGTCGCCTGCCGTGCTCAGCTGTCACCGCGTGTTCGGGCCAGGTCTGCTCCTCCATCTGTTTTCTGACTTCCTGGATTGGCTGGCAACCCCATCAATTGCAGTTCCCTTTCTTCCTCTTTGCCCTTGTGTTTGTTTCGTTTTTTTCATACTCCTGGCATTTGAGTGAGGCTTCCAGTTATGCATACATCCTCCAGAAGCTTAATTTTTTTATTATTATTTTTTATTTTTTTAAAAGATATTGTATTGATATTTTACAGAGAGGAAGGGAGAGAGATAGAGTGCTAGAAACGTCAATGAGAGAGAAGCATCGACCAGCTGCCTCTTGCATACCCCACACCAGGGACGTGCCCACAACCAACGTACATGCCCCTGACCGGAATCGAACCTAGGACCTTTCAGTCCGCAGACCGACGCTCTACCACTGAGCCAAACCAGTTTCGGCGAAGCTTAATTTTTTTAAATCCATAGACATTTTTGCAAAGTTAAGTAAGATCTAGTGTTCTTTTTACTTTATTATTTTGTAATGCATCCTTAATCCATTTAAACCAATTTCTTGTGGAATTATATATTTCAATTTTAGTAAAGCTTTAGTCATTTTCATGAATAGAACGGAAGAGGTAAAAAGCCTAGTATACAAAGTTTACTTAAATTTCACCCATTTCCTTATTATTATTATTATCATCTAGTCTAGTGTGTCATGTATATGGAATACATCTCCAGATTTTCTCCACAATCTTCTTTCTGAACCAATACATCTGTTTGGCATTTATTTTCTTGCGTATCTAGAGGAAATTTATTTAGGCCCGAAGAGTTTCTGTTACCATATACATTCAGATCGTGTGTGATTCGTTCCCAGATTCTCCCCACTAGTAAAAGCAGCCAGATGATCACCTTTACCTTTGCCAACGGCTGCGTGGCCACCATGCGGACCAGTGGGACGGAGCCCAAAATCAAGTACTACGCCGAGCTGTGTGCCCCGCCGGGAAACAGGTAAGCTGTGGATGGCAGCCGCTGAGGTTTTAGTCCCTAAACTTCGGAGTTTGTTCTGTTCATAGGCTGAGTAAAACATTTCATCTTTCCATATGCCCTTTAACCGGGAAGCTTGTTCCAGAACCTATAGCAATCCCTGTGATGTTAACGGCTGCTGGGAGCATCCAGAGACCAGGGTTCCCTTCATGCCTAATTACATCTCTCCCTCTCCCCACTTCTCCTTGTCTGAGAAAAATGCCATTCCTCATTTCAGCAATAGTAATATTCTTTCCTTTTTCTAGTACTTTTTATATGAGGTAAGCGCCCATGAGTGTTTCTCCTTTTCCGCATGTATCTGATACAATAAAGTGAAATCATTGCACATGCATTCAGCACATGCTTTGAGTACCTGTGTGGTTGCATCAGGCGACGCTGGGCCCCAGGATAAAGAGCCAACGTCAGACAGAGTCCTTGCCACCGAAGGACTGATGGCCTGGTAGCTTCAGGGTCATGTCTTCACGAGTGTGGGAAAGGGTTTGCGTTGGTCACTTTCCAACTGTAACATTTTGAACTTGAACAACTGTGGTGCATGTCATTAGCATGTGCAAGTGTGATACTGCTAACCTACTTAACCCACAGTTAACTAGCTCTTCTCTGTTTAGATTACAGTTGAGAATCAGGGGGAAAAATTTTAGGTGAAATCAACTTCGTCCAATAGAAATACAATGTGAGCCACATATGCAAATTTCAGTGTTCCATTAGTGAATAGAAACCGGTGAAATTAATTTTAATAATATATTTCATTTAACCTAGTCTATTTAAATATTGTCATTACCATATGCAATCCATACTAAAGATTATTGGGATATTCATGTTTTTGTCACACAAAGTCTGCACAATCCATTTTAGTATCTTACAACTTGCCATGTATCTTAATTCAAATGCCAAATTATTTTTGGAAATACTCTATCTGTATTTAGATTTCATAAAATTTACAGAAGAAAATGTAGAATTTGATACCCCAGTTGTTCCAAACGTACTTAAGTTTCCCAACAGCCAAATCAGGTGTCAATTTTTAAATTTGAATTTCAGTTATTTGGACTTAAATGAAATTTAAAAATCAGTTTCTTGGTTGTCGGAGGCATATTTCAAGTGCTTGACAGCCATGTGTGGCTGCTGGCTGCTGCAGTAGATGCCAGAAGTCTCGGTGGTGGTTAACAACGTGTATTCCAAAGCTCTGCTCGTAGGAAGACTTCTGCATTTGTGAATCAGATTTGCACCATGTGGAAGTAGGAGCAGAGGAACACTGCTGAGCATCTTAAATTGGCAAGTTAATAGCAGATTAGCCGAAACCGGTTTGGCTCAGTGGATAGAGCATCAGCCTGCGGACTGAGGGGTCCCAGGTTCGATTCCGATCAAGGGCATGTACCTTGGTTGCGGGCACATCCCCAGTGTGGGGTGTGCAGGAGGCAGCTGATGGATGTTTCTCTCTCATCGATTTTCTAACTGTCTATCCCTCTCTCTTCCTCTCTGTAAAAAATCAATAAAATAAAATAAAAACTTAAAAAAATAGCAGATTAAAATATAGCAAATTAGGAGTGGGTGAGGAAACAATTGTTAGGGTTCCACGTCCCTTAGACAGGCAAAGTGAGTGCTGACAGTAAAGCAAGAAATACTGAAGCAAAACAAAGCTAGAAACATGGAAACAAGAACTCGGGGAGTTTAAGGGAAATAGCATTCCGCTCCCAGTGGGCCCTGCGTCTTCTGAGTGAGAGCTGCGAGCAACTGTCAGAGTCATGATTACAGTTCTTAACCATCGAGGTACTCAAATGGATCTATGAAGTCATGGGACTGGAATAGATTTGCTACAGATTCTCATTAAAACCTTCTGATGCTTAAAGGGCAAAATCTCACCATGAAGCAACTTAAACATAAAGCAGCTCATTTTCTGAGCACATTGCATTACCAGCGTTTTATGGGACATTGTGCAAGTATCAGTGTTTCCATGTGTGTTAAGTAACGAGCTGTTTGCTACTACATTGAGTATGATTTTTTTCCATTGGCTTTTTTGTAATTCTCATTCTCACTTAGTGTTTGTATATTTCTGTATCTTATTCTTTTTTTTTGGCGGGGGGAGGGTAAGACATTAGACCAATTTAAAGATGTTTTCAATAGATATTTGTCTTTTCCTTTTTGTTATCCTGTGAAAAATGTGCCTAATATTCCAGAAAACTTTTGCTTTAAAATAACAGTACTATTTAATGTTTAAGGGTCTGTGGTATTTACATTTTTTCACATGGCTTACTGAGTGGACTTAAATTCAAACACTGATGTATACATTACTGAAAACATTTAGAAAAATTGTGCTTTTATTATATTCATTGAAATGGTGCTTTCTTGTATTAAATGGGACATTAATCACTAAGTCAGCTACAGCTACACTGTTGGGGCTCAAGCCAGGCACCAGCATACCTACTGTACAACAGCAGTAACACTGTGGTTAAGGTTTCCTTATTTTCTGATAACCTAAAATATTGTTAATATAGTCATATCATGAATTTAATTTATTCATAGAATTTCATGACCTACTAATTCCTTAGGATGTGAAATCCTTTACTGGCACAAGTCCTGCTTTTTTTTTTTTTTAATTTTTTAATGAATACTTTTTTTTAAATTGATTTTTTACAGAGAGGAAGAGAGAGAGATAGAGAGTTAGAAACATCAATCAGCTGCCTCCTGCACACCTCCCACTGGGCATGTGCCCGCAACCAAGGTACATGCCCTTGACCGGAATTGAACCTGGGACCCTTGAGTCCACAGGCCGACGCTCCATCCACTGAGCCAAACCAGCTAGGGCAGTCCCGCTTTTTAAAAAATATTTTGTTGACGTAGATGTCTTTAGTTTTTATTTTGGAAAATTTGAAACCTACAGAAATGTTGAAACAATAATGTAGTGAATATTACATACCCTCGCTTAGACCAGGACTTGACAAGCTTTTCCTGTGAAGAGCTAGACAGTAAATATGTTAGGGTTTGCAGGTCCTGTGGTCCCTGTCACAACTACTGGCTTTGCTGTCCTAACTAGAAAACAGGCATAGACGTGAAGGAATGGGCGTGGCAATGTTTCGGTGAAATTTACACAAACAGGCCATAAAGCCCTGGTTTGCCTACCTAGAATGAGCAAATGCTAACATTTTGTGATATTTGCTCTTTCTCACCATACACTTTATGTTTTTGGTTGTTGGTTTTCCCCCTGAGCCATTTAAAAATGAGTCATAGACTTTAATATGCATTCCTAAGAACAAAGACTTTCTCGTACTATCTAAGGTTTAGATAATACTTATATCAGGGAGAGTTCTAACAGAAACGAGACCAGTAGGAGCTATAAAGACGCATATCTCTGCAGACTACAGATATATGCCTGTGTGTTCATATGTAGTACACTGTTGGGTTTTAAGTATATTGTTGAAAAAACACACACAGTAATTAGTTATGTGCCTTACTGAGAATTGCTTTTTTCTTCAAAGCACACCTATGGGGAAGGAAAAAAAAAAGACCTGTGTAGTTCATATGTACTCAGGAAGCATAATTACTTTTATGTGTTACCAATGGCGGTAAAAATAATTATAACGACAGCATACATTTATTGAGGTTTTGGGGCCAGGTTCTATGCTAATTGCTTTCTATAATTTATCTCAATCTACACAACAACTCTCTTGGGAAGGTACAGTCTTCATCCCAGTTTTACAAATGAGGAAAGAATCTGGGCCTTCCAGAGGCTAAGCCTTCCCCGGGGCACACCCTAGCACCGCAGAGCCAGAATTAACGCCTGTAACAGGATGGATTACGCTAGTTGTACTCTTAGCTTTCATAATGTAAGAATGACCTTAAATTACAAGGATTGCCATCTCCACTAAAATATAGTTTGTAGCCCTGACCGGTTTGGCTCAGTGGATAGAGCGTCGGCCTGCAGACTGAAGGGTCCCAGGTCCGATTCTAGTCAAAGGCATGTACCTTGGTTGCGGGCACATCACCAGTAGGAGGTGTGCCGGAGGCAGCTGATCGATGTTTCTCTGTCATCGATGTTTCTCTCTATCTCTCTCCCTTCCTCTCTGTAAAAAATCAATAAAATATATTAAAAAAAATTTTTTTGAGGACTAGAAAGGGATGTTTTTTGTTTATGGTGAAGCTTTTGGGGAAAGCTTTTGGGGAAATAATTTATATTATCTCATGGGATTTGTTGTTGCTGTTGTTACCAGAGGCTCCCTGCACTTCCGATTTGTCTGATTTATTAGTAGCCCTCCTCTGAATGTTCCATAGCATGTGTTACTTGGTCACAGTGGAGAAAATTTAAATATGCTTTTAGCCCTGGCTGGTTTGGCTTAGTGGATTGAGCGTCACCTGTGGACTAAAGGGTCCCAGGTTAGATTCTGGTCAAGGACACATGCCTGGGTTGTGGGCTCGATCCCCAGTACAGGATGTGCAAGAATCAGCTGATCAATGATTCTCTCTCATCATTGATGTTTCTATCTCTCCCTCTCCCTTCCATTCTGAAGTCAATAAAAATATTTTTTTAAAATGAAATATGCTTTGTGAAAAATCCACTGATCTAGAATTTCCCCCCTTATTTTGCAGTGATCCTGAGCAGCTGAAGAAAGAACTAAATGAACTAGTCACCGCTATTGAAGAACATTTTTTCCAGCCACAAAAGTATGACCTGCAGGCAAAAGCAGAGTGAAGTATCCCAGCCTTGGGCACAATTGCATTTACCTACATTAAGCTGAACTTGATTTCTTAATCATCATTCGTAAGGGCCAAGTGATTTAAACTGTCACTACAAGTATTTATATATTTTTTAATAGACCTACATTCCTCATTGTCTTATGTTGGATCTTTAACGTAAATAAAGGAAAGATAGATAAACCTAACACACCAACATTCCTATTAAAAGGTTAAGACTCAACATTATGAGAATTTTAAAAAATGAAGATTTAAGAAATACAATGAATATGCTTTAATTACAGTAAACAACAAATATGTTTTTCCTCTATAATTCTTTTTATGAATAATTGAAATAACCAGGAGGCCCTTACAAGTGGGTAATTTTGGGCTGTCACGTTTTACACACGTAGGCAGACCTCATCTTATTGTGCGTCACTTCATTGAGCTTCACAGGTGTTGTGTTTTTTAAAAACTGAAGGCAAAAGATTATGACTCACTTTGTTAAGACACATTTTATTACCAGAGTCTGGAACCAAACTCAAAATATTTCCGAGGTACTCTAGTATATACAAGGGGTGGGCAAAAGTAAGTTTACAATTCTGTTCAAATAGAAAATAATAAAATAATCAGTAAGTAATACAAGAACAAAATGTTGCACATTTTCACAACTGTATACTTACTTTTGCCCACTGCTGGGTATTTCTATCAGTTGTTTATAAAGTAAAATAAATGAACAGATCAAGTATTGTGTTTATGTTTAGGAAAAATACAATTTACAGAAACCTGTGAAAAGGAGCAAAATATACCTTAAAAAAATAAGTCTTGTTTTGTTTTTTATTTTTTACCTAAATCCTGTTAGTTCTAATAATACACCATTATACTTTGTGCATGTGCTAGGGAAAAAACAGCTTAACCATTTTTAAAATATATATTTTATTGATTTTTTATAGAAAGGAAGGGAGAGAGATAGAGAGCTAGAGATAGAGAGCTAGATAGAGATAAGAGAGAAACATCGATCAGCTGCCTCCTGCACACCCCCCACCAGGGATGTACCTGCAGCCAAGGTACATGCCCTTGATGAATCGAACCTGGGACCTTTCAGTCCGCAGACCGACGCTCTACCACTGAGCCAAACCGGTTTCGGCAGCTTAACCATTTTTGTTCAATGCATTACCATTCATTTTATCTCTTTAAATCTTGAATCAAACAGCTGATTATTTGAAACTTGCAAATTACTTTATTGTACAACTTTTTACTCCAGCACAATTTAATTCTTGTTTCTTAGGCGGCAAGGATGATAAAATAACTATTCACCTGACTCTGATTTTTTTTTTCTTGTTCGTACATAATCAAAATCTAAAACTAGACTTTTTGTATAATAGATTTTCTTTTCCAGGTTCATTGTTTTAGCCTGTGCCTTCTGCCCTCCTCCTAACTGTTGGCCTTATAACCTTCTAGAATGATTCCCCTTCAGCGAGGACTACACCGTTTTCTCTTTAAGTATTTTATGTGATCTTTAAAGCAAGTGATCGCCCATTATTATTCTTATTGTTAACCGACATGGTTATGAACAGTTTCAGAACAGAGAGAAATACAATACTGTTGACAATCAATTTTCTAAAGTAAAGGGAAAATATTCTTATATCTTAGTGATGCATAGCTTGTGCCCTACCAGAACTCTTAAATCCACAATATTCAATATAATCTATCAGCTACTTCATTGTAGAAGCTATATTTATTTTTGTGTTATAATGTTTTCAAGTCTCAGACTGTGTACACTGGAAAATGAGCAATGGTAGATCTGTGTCCTTGCCACGGTTTTCTGAACATGTAAACTATACCTCATCACAGAGTCTGTTTCTGAAAATACAGAAGCGACGGAGATCCAGTTCCGCTGTAATGGAGCTCCCAGTCTAATCGAAGGGCTAATAAAGAACTGTCAATCTCACAGATTCTGTAGGTGCGTTATTTGCAAAGCACGCAGAGGTCAGAAGCGTGTCGGGGAGGAGTCCTGTTCAGACGGCCTCTCAGGAGAGAGATCAATGAGCTGCTTCACCTTTGGAGGGTGAGCAGCAGCTGAAGGCGGAACAGAACGTCCTAGGCACGGAGCACAGCGTTATTGGAAGGGTAGAGGTGCTGGGATGTGTGTGCATTTTGGGGGTAGGGGTGGAGGTGGTGGTGGGAAAGCAGAACCCAGCTGTAAACCTCAGCACATACCCTCACTTCTCTTCCACTCACAGGAGCAGGCGATCAGTGAACCTCTATGATTTCTCACCTGTATTTCCAAGAAATAGCACGCCGTGGGTGCTCGCTGAGCATTTCTTGACTTTTTGTTATGGGATGGGTACAGGAGAGAATAATTCGTGGTGCATAAAGCTTGCGGCATCAGACTGGGTTCTTGTCTTGGCATGCTGGGAATCGGCTCTGTGACCTTCGACTTCTCCGTCTGCATCTCCAGTTTTGTTCATATGTTGAAACTTTTCTTTAGGGTAGTTCTAGGTTCACAGCAAAAAAAAAATTTTTTTTAAATATATTTTATTGATTTTTTACAGAGAGGAAGAGAGAGGGATAGAGAGTTAGAAACATCAATGAGAGAGAATCACTGACCGGCTGCCTCTTGCACATCCCCTACTAGGGATGTGCCCGCCACCAAGGTACATGCCCTTGACCAGAATCGAACCTGGGGCCTTTCAGTCCACAGGCCAATGCTCTATCCACTGAGCCAAACTGGTTTCGGCATCACAGCAAAATTGAGAGGAAGGTACAGAGATATCCCATAGAACTCCTGCCCCTACACTGCATAGCCTCCCCTTTTACCAGCGTTCCCAACCGGAGCAGTGCATCCCTTACTATTGATGAACTACCTGCATTGACACATCGTCACCCAAGCTGCAGAGATAATGAAAAGCTCATTGGTTGCCAGGGCTTAACAGGGAGAGATGAACGAATAAGCAGAGCAGAGAGGATTTTTTGGGCAGCAAAGCAAAATTCTCTGTGATAGTATAATAGTGCATGCATGTCCTTACACCTTTGTCCAAACCCATGGAATGCGCACCAAGAGTGAACCCTGATGTAAACTAGGGACTTTGGGTGATGATTCTGTCATTTTTAAAATGTAGAGATTTTACTGAATGTTCTCTGAGGTCATTCCATGGAGCAGGTCTTTAAATTATGTGGAAATCCAACGGAGGACTGTCAGCAGCAATAAGTCACTGGTAATTCTCTTCGACAGAAGCTTAACTAGCCCTCTGAGATAGGGACAGACACTTTGTACTGAAGAGCAGCATCGTGCTAATATCCTGCCCTGCCTTGCAGCCTGAAGGGGGTGGGCGCTGCGAGTGGGGACCAGCAGAGCAGACCACGTGACCTGTAGATGCCTGAGGACATGTTTTGATAGAGGAGTCAGGCAGTGATTGGGGCGAGTGCTCTCCTGGCAGCCCCTGGTGCATTCTAACGCTACCCCTCCTTGGGGAAGACCTTCCAATTTGAGTGTGGAGCTGGCAACCCATATCCTTTTGGTGCCTAGAAAGAACCAATCCCAAGGGAAGTCCTGAGAGACTGACTGGGAGGGGGAAATGCAGGCCAGCGATCTATTGTTGTGTTTTTCTTTGTGGTTTATGAAATAACAGCTGTTCCTGATTTCTTTAAGAAACACTGGCAGTGCCTCTCATTTATCTCACTGATTTACCTCAAACATAATGCTGTTATGGGTAAGTGTTGTTATTTCATGATATTGGTAACTCGTGTGGTTTTAAAAATAAGTGTTTTATGTGACGAATCAAATGCATATGCCCTCCTTTGAATGGGTTTTGAAAAAAAAAAAAAGGCATCTAACTCATAATTTCTGCATCCTAGAAGACCGAGTCCTCGGAGCTACTTGTGTGTTCGTTCATATGTTCACTGATCGAATCATGTTTGAACGTTGCTGTGAGGTAGGCCCTTTCCCGGATGCTGATGTCAAACTCAGTCTAGCAAGGGAAGTACACCTGTGCACAGATAGTTGCAACAGAGTGTGCTGCACGGAAGACGTGTATTCCAACTGTGGGCCAGCAGTTCTGTGAAGCTCCCTGAGCCTTTTTTTCCAGGCGTCAAGTTCAAATTCCTAACATTTTTTGTTAAAACAATTTGACTCTGGGAGGCTATTTGCATATTATTTCCCTGCATCATCCTTTTGTTCCTTTCATCCTCCTATATAATAAAGATGTAACATGCAAATGGTCCTTATATCGTGAAGTGTAATGACCAGATAACAGATCAGCAGGAGGGTGGGGCAGTGAGCTACAAGTGGGTGGTGGAGAGCTACAGGAGGGGGCAGGGCAGCAAGCTATGAGGGGATGAGAGGGTGGGGGAAACTACAAAAGGGCAGGGCAGTGGGCAGAGACCTGCTGGAGGGTGGCAGCGAGCTACTGGTGAACTACTGGTGCGCGAATTTGTGCGCAGGGCTACTAGTCCTCTATAATAAAAGCCTAATATGCTAAGTGTCTGGTTGTCCAGTCGGCCGCTCAACCAATCAAAGAGTAATATGCTAATGATATACTAAGGCTGCTCAACTGCTCACTATGATGTGCACTGACCACCAGGGGGCAGACAGTTGACTGGTTGATCAGTGGCTATGACGTGCACTGACCACAAGGAGGCAGGCGCTCTGACTGGTAGGTTAGCTTCCTGCTAGGGTCCAGGGATCGGAACTGAGCAAGATGGGCCCTGGAGCCCTTCCACAGCCCGTCCCCAGCTAGCCAACCTCCTGAGTCCCTCCTCAGCCCCAAATTGTGCACTGATTGTGCACCAGTGGGGTTCCTTAGCCTGGCTTGTGCTCTCTCGCAATCCAGGACCCTTTGAGAGATGTCAGAGCTCGTTTCGGCCCAATGGTGGAACAGCCGGTCACTATGATGTGCACTGACCACCCGGGGGCAGACACTCAATGCAGAAGCTGCCCCCTGGTGGTCAGTGCACTCCCACAGGGGGAACGCCGCTCAGTCAGAAGCTGGGCTGATGAGCACAGTGGTGGTGATGGGAGCCTCTCCCGGTTCCACAGCAGTGCTAAGCCAGCAGTTGGATATCCCAAAGAATCAGGACTGCGAGAAGGTATAGGCCGGGCTCTGCGTGTGTGTGTGTGTGTGTGTGTGTGTGTGTGTGTGTGTGTGTGTATAATTGATTTCAGAGAATTATAAGTCCCTGATCGGGACTCAAACTGCAACCTCCTGGTACATAGGATGACAACCACTGAGCCACATTGGCTGGGCCCTTTGTTCCATTCTTGTGTAGGGGTTCAGAAGAAGCTTCCCCCAAATGTGCCAGTTTGTTAAGTGAATGATTTTGAGTTGAATAGGAAAGACCCTCCAGGCTCACAGGAAACCTCTGTCCCCTTTACCCTCCACTACCTAGATGAATATGAATTGGGGGCCTTGTCCATGATTAGCAATCACCAGAGATGACCCTTTTGGACCTATCCAATGTCAGGACTAACTACTAATTACTGAATATCTGCTCTTATTGTCCTGCAATGATCCTCTGGAGCCCCAGTGTTAGACCTCGACCTTAGCTCAGAATGTCACGTGTACTTAATTTTCCCTGTCGCTGAACCTCTTTTGTAACGCAGTGTCTGTGACTCCATCATGTACTAGTATGTGGGGTTCCCACCTGTACCTATGAAATTAAATTTTATTATTTTTGCTTGTTAATCTGTCTCACATAGATTTAATTATTAGACCAGCTGAAAGAATGTTGAAGTATAGAGGAAAGTTTTCTTTCTCTCCCACACTTGCTACAAGTCTTTCTATGTAAAAT